ATCATCGTGATGAGTGTGCTCATAGTCCACTGCACAGCTCCTACATTGCACCTTTTGTACATTTTGTGTTTTGTATTTTAATTTTTAATTTTTTTATAAATACTTTAAATTCTATTTTATACAGAATATTATAATAGCTTCTAATACTGTATTATTTATTTTTTCTGCTTTATTTCCTTGTTAATTGTTTAGCACCAATACACCAAGTCAAATTCCTTGTATGTGTAAATGTACTTGGCACTAAAACCCAGATTCTGATTCTGATTCTGAGAAGATATTTCATGGAGAATAAAACTTTAACAGTTAACTGCCTTTGTCTTGCCTTGTTTTTTCTTTGCACAAAAAAAACCCATCTGCACTTTATCACACAGATAAATGCAATCAGATTCATACCAACGGCAAATTTTTGCTCGTCTGCAAAACTTCACGGGCATGTGCGCGCGGTAATAGCATCTTTCATGAATGGGATCTTGAGACAAGGCCAGATGAAATTGCGAGCGATTTCAATTTATGCTTCTATCAAAACCCACAATCCATTTCTTTCTGTTCTTGCCCCTGTGAGAAGTTCACATCTGAACACATCATCACAGATCAAATAGTCATTTTTCGCACCACTTCTGAGTGTTAGTTCAGATTTGAAATGAAGAGAGACAGAAGAGAAGCCGTGTCTCTCAGCAACACAGTCAGACTGCGGAGTAAAGGCCAACATGTACTGACACAACTTTAAGAGCGTTTCTGAGCCGAGTTTTAGTCATCCATCAGTCATCTGTCTCCTTTAACAGATGTGCTTGTATTTCCACAAAATCTATCACTCACCATCAGCTCTGACAAGCCTGCATGTGTCGCTCGTCAACGCTCCAACGCCTCTGATTCTTTTTCATTTTAACACTTCTCTCTCGCCACTATTTTCTAGATGTTATGAACTCGTCTTGTGAAATAAATATCTGGAGTGCTGAATCAAAGTTCCAAGTGTATCTGCACCGTAGCTGAATGCTTTACCATGCTTCCTCTTTCATCAGACAGAGGTCATTGCTTTTTTATTTTGTCGGAGTTGATTTGAAACACCTGACAGATCGTCGATCGTTTACGTTTAAAATAGTTATAGCTGACCCTTTTGAAAGAGGGGGGCAGGAAAAAATATGAAATATGACTGTGTAAGGTCATCCGTTCACGGTCACAAACTAAGGCTGGGTTCACATGGATGTCATTTTCGAGGAGGAGAAAAAAAACAATAAGTTAGCACATCAATTTATCATTAGCATCGTTAACAAGAATCAATTGAGGAGTCCTCCAACCAACGTTCTTCACCATCATGTCTGCCAGTGTCCCGATGCTCACTCCTCTTCCTCTTTTTTTCCTGTTTCTTTTCCCTCTCCTATAGACAGATCATTTCTCTTCATTTTTCTTTTTTTTTACTTTCATTGACAAACTTTGGATTCAAATTTTGGTCCACTGCTTTGGTTTCAAGTTGTCAGCGCTCAGGGGGCCCCCCTACTGGTCTGGGAGCCCCCGAGCAGTTGCCTACCTTGCCTGTTGACAAGCAGCGCCTCTGACTGCATCGGTGGTTGGCAGCTGTCATTCCCTAGGTGTCAGTTTGGGACATTTGTTACAGCACTTCATGAAGCTTCTCATACAGATGCAAAAAAATAAGTCTTTTGTAAATTTAAAATTTGCACCAGGATATACCTGTGTGTAAAATATCCCTGACTGCTGTTAAAGACAAAGTAGAAATACAAAGAAAGTCTGCTCGAGGCTAAGGTTTGGGGATATGGATGATCCAATCCATTACTCGAAAAACAAACAGCACAGCTCTTTAACCCTGTGACAAACTGATTAAAAACATTGACTTTACATCCCCTTTCACACGGGCACTGCACTCCAGAAAATATCCTGAAATTGTCACGTCAAGCTTATCGGTGAATGCAAACGGTCACATTTTTTACCCCATCTCCTCAGCTTTTTCCTGCTAGCCCCCTATTGAAGTTCAGGGTGAGCCAGTGAGTAGAATTGATGTGCAGCTGCAGGTATCTGTCGGGTAAACTCATGGGAAAGCTGCCATGAATTTTCTAGAAGTTCTCGGAACCGAATGTGTGAAAGAGGCTAAATTATCTCTCTCTCTTTCTTTCTGCTTGCCCCTCTATCACTTCCTCCTCACATCCTGCAGCAGCAGCAGCAGATGGCTGCTCACCTGCAGTCGGGTTCTGCTTGAGGTTTCTGCCTTTTGCCAAATGTTTCCAAGTGTTTGCTCTTGGGTGAATTCCTGTTGTGTCTATCTGACAATATTACAAAGAGTACGGCCCAGACCTGTTGCTTGCAAAGTCTCCTTAGACAACATTTATTATGATTTGGCTTTGATTTAACTTTAGATCGTTTCCCTAACCTCAGCCGTGTTGTTGTGTTGTTTTGTTTTGCATGAACCTGACCTGGCTGTTTGATTCCAAACACAACAAACACTACAGACACTACCTTGTGAACATGAGTCATAACAGCATCGGCGATCGATGACCTGGGGTGAGGAAGCGTTATCATTGGGGATAATAAAATGTTTGACCTTATCCCAGTTCTGTGCAACAGAATTTACAACAAAGAGGGACGATGGACAGGTGACATTAAGACTCTGATAAATGAGTGATACACCAACCACAGTTTAACCTTGTGATTATTTTTGAGGGATTATTTCATGCATAGGAAGAGAATCATTCTTTTTATGCATGACAGGAATGATGACTTGACCACAACAACATGTCTTGTTTTGTGCTTTTCTTTCAGTGGTCTTGTTTTTTCAAATTCTTTCAGACGTTGTAGTCTATCTTCCGTCTGAATCCATGTGAATGCAGTATGATGCTGATCTTGAATCAGGTGCAATGCTGGATCGAGGCACAGAGCAACCTAAAAGTCAAGTTGTGTGTCCTCTGCTGGTGCGTCTCGCAGCGAGGACCCTCTGTTGTGTCTTTTGAGAACCCTTGATCAGATACTTGTGGGTTTTTGTACAGAGGGAGAGAGGAGGCTCTTTACCCAGCCGAGCGTGTTCGACCTGAGATAAGAGGCAGGGAATGAGTCGTTGTGAGGGGAGGCCATGCTGATACGCTTCTCACTCCGCGGCTCGCTGACACACACACACACACACACACACACGGTCTGCTCGCACACTCACCGCGGTCCCCAACAGATGCACACACACAGAATGAAACCCCTGACTAGCTTCTGGAAAATGTATGAAAAGCGAGATGTGGAGATGTGATCCAAGCAGTAGCCCATATCCATTCTGTCTTGTAATGGAAATGTGACACGGGGGAAAAGGCTGAATAACTACAAACCTATTGACTCTGTGAGTGATTGTGTGTGTGTGTGTGTGTGCGTGTGTGTGTGTGTGTGTGTATGGAGGGAGAGAGGGGAGGGACTGAGATTTGGTGAGGGACAGAAAAAAGACCCCAAAAAAAGACAAAACACAGAAAGAGTGAGAGTGACAGGGCAAAAGAAAAAAACAAGGTCCTGTGACTCGGGAGGGGGAATTGAGCCTGAAACAGAGAGAGAGAGAAAAAGGTCCAATGCTATCACACCTCTACGAGCGGCTGCACTGTGATATTGATCGCTCCGTGGCCCCAAGACATGTTGTGGACAAAACAGCCATTATTCTAAAGCCACATCCATTCATTCACACCTCAGTGTTGGCCATGCAGCAGGAGCAAAAAAAAAAAAAAAAAACACCTTACGGCTCTTTTTGTGCAAAGCAATGACAGTATTTTAAATGAGTATGTCGAATTTATGAAGAAGGCGGGTTGATATGATATTAATCAGGAAGGATTTTATGGTAAAAAACACAAAAGCACAAAAGAGGCCAGAAGAGTGTTTGGAGAGCTTTTAGAGAAATGTAACCAACAGGATGCTGAGTTGGTTTAATTTAGCATAATTTAGCAGTTTTTTTTTTTTTTGCTCGGGTACAAAGATTGACTCACGCTCTTCTGCTTCGTTATAGTGCTTCAGTACTTCTACTTTAAGCTGCTGCTTAAGCTTAATAATTTATTTTATTCAATAAATACAAAAAAGTAAAGGCTTTATATGTGATTTTTTGATCCAGCAGATGTCGCCCTTGAGCTCCAGCATGAAACCAAAACAACTTGCGCTGCATTGTTGTGTTAGCATGCTAATGCTAGTGATCTTTATTATGCTGGTATCTTCACACTGCATGTAAATTTACCTGAAATGAGCGTGATCTAGAAACACAGTTAAGCAGTGAGTACAGTATGTTATTCTTCTTTTCTCTAGTCCCTCAATTAAACAACTTTTATACACGAGGGGAGGAGTCAGCCGGCTGTCCAGGCGATGTAAACAAACTGAAGATAGGACTCTGAAAACTCTGAAAACATCACAGACAGTGGGACTCGGGTGTTACACCCATTGTAGACAGTCATGACTCACAGAGTTATTTTCAGAGGAGATACTTGATTTCTACATTTAAGTGTGAAAAGAAATGTGCCCTCAAAAAAAAAACGAGTGGGATTAGTTTCCAATCCGCCATTGTTGTTGACACGGTTAATATCTGAAGTCCCGCTCCTTCTTTGTTGTGATTGGAAGAGAATTGACACTGATGAGAATGCTGGTGTTCCATAAGTTGAGATATTTTTCAACTGAAGGTGCTGTGAGAGCAGTGACAAAAAACATCCTGTGGCTCAGTTGGTAGAATCGTCACCTCTTGCCCAAAAGGTCGAGGTAGGGAAAGCAATATGCTCAACGTGTTCTTGGGCAAGAGGCTTATCCCCACATTGCTGGGTGTTGTTCTTACTCTCTGATGTTTGGTTTGCTTTGGATAAAAGTGTCTGCTAAGTGAATTGTAACATTTAATGTTCAGGACGCTGAGGGCTGAAAACACTGAGCTGCATTGGCTTTCTATAGAAAATGGCCGCTGCCTAAGTGGACTGTGCACACTTGCTGACAGAGTAAATATTAAACTTTAACATGTGTCTCCAAAGAAAAGACGAAAGTGGATCATCATCGCTCACCTCGGTCGGTGTCGTACAGGAAGACAAACTTGTTCCAGTCGTAGTGGTCGAGCAGAGACAGGAGGGCGCCCCGGATGGACGGTCGGAGCTGCAGGGTGAACTGGCTCTCGCCCTCGGTGGGGAAGCTGGGGGTGATGAGGGAGATGTGCAGGGCGCTGCAGAAGGACGTCAACGTGTGGACGGAGCGCTTGTCGTACAGGCCGAAGATGGCGAAGACACCACGGGAGTACTGGGAGCAAA